TAAAGGTGAGCCAAGACAGGAGAGATAAAGGAGACATAAGATACAGGAACAATAAAAGAGACATGAGATAGACAAGAGATAAATGAGACATGAGATACAAGAGAGATATAAGAGACATAAGATACAGGAGAGACAAAAGAGACATGAGATACAGGAGAGATGAAGGAGAGAAATGATACAGGAACAATAAAAGAGACATGAGATAGAGGAGAGATAAAGGAGCGACAAGTTGGAAGTGAGATACATGAGACATAAATGAGAACCGATATACTTCTGACACCACTAAACATTATAACAGTCATTCACGGCATAAACACTGAGAAGCTAGTCTTGGATCAGGAACAGTTCCTCTCTTTATTTCAGCTGCAGATAAACATGAGCGCTGGTGTCTTCATATCTGAGCACAGTGTGTGACTTTATTAAGATCTCTACTAAAACTGAAGCGGAGAAACGTGTGAGATCACTGAGCTCTTTTCTATCGGAGAAACATCTGAGCAGCAGGAGGAACATCAGCTACGGTCTCCATTGTCTTTCCATCTGCTCTCGTTGTTGTTAAGGAAGGACACAGCACAGCTTCCTGTTAACCTCTGGCTCATTTCATGTTGTCTGCCTTTATGAGTTGTATGCCGTGTTTAATTAGCTTGGTGTGGAGAAATAAATGCATACACATCACAAAGAACCGGCTGGAAGTCGGTCCATAGCAACTACACGCACTGGATGATGAGGCTAATGTAGCTAACAAGATTATACTCCAGCGATTAGCACTATGCTAACTGCATGGCTAAATCACCTCAAACCATGTGGAGGTGTTCAGTATCTCTACGTTCACACAGCAGGTAAAAGTGGCCCAAATCCGATCTTTTTCCTCATATGTGACTCAGATGTGTGAACAGATAAACACACTGAATCTGACATTTTTGATTCCGATTTGAGACGCTTTCAAATGTGGTACCGAAATCCGATACGTATCCGATCTGCGGCAGTGCGACTCAGTCTGAACAGATCTGAATTCATGCGACTTTTACGTCAGTACAACTCAACATTCGCCATCATTTTGCACTGCTGAGACTCAAACATTTAGGCTGATGTTTCTAATAAGGCACTTATCACAGCCGCTCGGTGTTCGAAGAGATTTCGAAAGAAATAGCCGAAGGCGGCCGTAGGAGAATGAGGCTGCAGCAAGTCTGAAAGCAAAGTTAAAAGAATCCAAGGACACGAACCAAAGAAGTGACCACGCCCTTTTTTATGGCAAACTTGAACACATTCTGGGTGATGAGCCCAGCTGTCAGCCATCAGAACTTCATGATTGCTGCTGTGGCACTGGCAAAGATGAAGCTGAACCCTCTGGGAGTGACTGGGGTTTGTTGGCGGTTATGATTGTTTACCTCTGGATGAGCCGCTTAAAGCTTTGTGCTTTTGTGCATGTGGGTCAGTTTGGCAGCTGATCTGTTCAGACTGATGTCGCATACAGATCACATTTAAAATAGGCTGGAGCCTATCCCAGCAGTCATCGGGTGGAAGGCAGGATACACCCGGGACAGGTCACCAGTCCATCGCAGGGCAGACACACGGACATATACATTCACGCCTTGGGGCAATTTAGTGTGTCCAACTGGAGGAAACCCATGCAGACACGGGGAGAACATGCAAACTCCACATAGAAAGGACCCTGGTCACCCGGCCGGGGAACGGAACCCAGGCCCTCCTTGCTGTGAGGCGACAGCGCTACGAGAGAAGCTCTAAAAAAAATCAGATTTGGGCCACTTTTACCTGCTGTGTGAATGTAGCCTAAATTATATGCTTTCTGACACTGTATGACACACTGTTATCTATAAACATGGATAAATATACAGACTAAAATTCAGACTTCAAGATGCTGCTCCTACTGTTTTTTTTAATATAATGTGTTTTTGTCATAAATGCTAAATCTTGCAGTGCAGGTGTTTCTGAAGACCAGTTTATAATTATACATTTCAAAGTCAAATATCTCACTTTTTACTCCACTACATTATGAGAAATCTGTCGTTCCTTTTGTTTTATGTGTGTATAAAAACATAATATGTCAAAATGAAAGAAGTGAGAACACCAATCAGGGCACAGCGCACTTTGTTTTGAGCTTGTTTTGACCTGTTGGTCATACTGACCCAGCGCAGCACACGGTTCATCGTCAGAGCAGCAGTGTAAAATTTTGGGAGAGTCTATTCAACATAAATGATGAACTAACCTAACTTTGTGTAAACAGACCACAATATAGAAATATGTACTCATATGCAGTTGAGACTGGCGTGTTTCTTTTTTCTGAATTTATACAAACAATATTTCATTTTATAGTAAATTTGTTTTGTCTAGTTTATGTTTATGAACAGAGACCTACAGATGCAGTTTAGTAAAGGAAACTCATTTGTGAATCTGAGATTAAAGCAGGTTTTATTAAACTTAAACTAATAAATCTTAAATGGAAACTTTGCTTGTTTGTAGAAAGTGATTTCAGAGCCACTCAGTTCTACCTAATGTAAACTGTTTGCCTTCAGTGTTTTGTGCTTATGATAATTTTAATAGACATCAGCGTCACTAATTAATGACATTCTATTAAAAGACTGGTTTACCAAGAGAGACACTGGAGTATTTACACCTAAAATGAGTTGATAAAGCAAAATGACCTTCTTACAAAAATGATAATAGGACATTAGAGCCATAATTAACCTTTTAGTACTTTCACTTTTGATACTTAAGTACATTTGAAGGCAAATACTTTTGTACTTTTACTCAAGTGGAGGTCTAAAGGGAGGAACTTCTACTTTTACTGGAGTAATATTTTACCTTGGGTCTCTCTACTTTAACTCAAGTACATGGTTTGTGTACTTCGTCCACCACTGGTCAGTTGTGATGTTCACATTAATACTATAAGACTGATTGTAGATCTGCGCTCTTCTCCAGTTCATATGGATCCAGGGTTGGGAACAGCTTCCTAAGTACATAAACACTGCCCTCTGCTGGGCAGTGATGGCACTCCTGTTAAGGTATCTTATGCAGGTCTTACAGCAAACAACTTTCAAGCGATTTCTAGAGATGTTACACTCGATACCAGAGCATCAGAGCAGTGTCGACACTTCCTGCTGCGAACTGTATCGATACAACCATAGATATACATATGTATAAAGGTCATTCTACAGAAACGTCCATTTTTGTGTCCCTGGCGTTTACAGATATATTACACTTCAAAAACATGTTAGAGTTACAATTTATTTATATCTTATGATAAAGCAATAAGTTATTTTAACAATTACACCTTCTTGAGTCTCAATGCAGAAATATTGGTTTTTAAACCAGTTATCTAGAATTTCAAGCACCACAGAAGAGCTCTTATTTAATTATTTAACTACAATAATCTATACATGGCTATGGAATATATGATTTAAATGACATACAGAAAACAAATGCCAAGTAAATATTATAAAATATATAATGAAAGTTCCCCAGGAGTCGTGTCACTGGTGTTACCGTGTAAAAATATCTCTTATTTTGAAATAAAAGTCACACTGATGACATCACTTAACTTCCTTTTACCTGTTTTCTGAGGATCTATGAAGAAAAGCACATGGTGAACCCACTGAGTCTTTCAGTTATCATTTTCTCATTTAGCTCATGATTTCATATGAAGCTTTTAGCTGAAGTCACTGGAGTGACCGACTTTATTCTGAGGTAACTGTGAAAAAATAGAATACAAGTGGATTTAATTCCATATTTTAGTGGATCTTCCATGATTGACAACATGTGGTTTGATGCTCTGTAGGAGCCGTTTTGTGAAATGCATTTTTCATTAAAAATGTCTCTGGTGTTTCCTTTCTTATGTGTAACAATGAGGATCAGCAACACCAGTGACTCCTATGGAGAGACAGAGAAGTGGACGTTTCTGTAGAATGACCCATATCTATGGATACAACCAACGATTCTGTGCCTCTCCAGAGAACTTGTAAAAAAGCTCTTTTTCCTTTATGTCTCAGTGCTCTCTCATTTTGTTTGTTTTTATGATTTAGATCATATCACCCAGTCAGAAATGAATCGCTGCATGTTACAATGTGTGGGTCAGATCTGGGCTGAGGACCCAGCCATATACTGGGCCAGAACAAACCAAGGATGTGGCCCACAGGACAAATTTTGCTAATTGGCTGTTTTTTATTACACAGTGTGATTCAAAAAGATTCATCCGATTTCAAAATGATTTATTTCCCTTGTAAATTATTACAGATCAATGCAGTGAACTGTAAACGGTTTAAATGAGCATAAAGTTTATGTAATTGTACAAGTGCTCAGTATGAACCTCCTCCAGCTTTACGGACAACACCACCACCATAGTCAAATTCATCCCATACTGGATTGAGCATGTCGGGTGTTGCTGCACTCACGGCTCTTTCAGTGCGATTTCGGAGACCATCCAGTGTTGTGGAACCAGCGCCGAACGCTCTGAGCTGTTGGAGGTTCACTGCCCACGAAAATCACACTGCAGTTATGAAGGATTCACTCTTATTGAAGTGGAGAACGCAGAACGCTTTCTGCTCAGGGGTCGCATCTCCTCTCAGACTGAAGGGAGCCATCTTCCACTGACAGTCAGACACTCTATGACCCCCTCTTTCAATTGGATTGTGATTGGTTCCTAGGCGCCTCACGGTTGTAAAAATATGGCGCTTTGAAATCGGATGGATCTTTTTGAATCACCCTGTATAATTCACACAAATGTTAAGTGGACCTCAAAGAAAAAAAGGAGAAGCAAAATAAAGAATATAGGACGTTTAATTTCGTTTGCCAGAAAGTTCACCTAACCCTCATCTGATAAGAGAACCAACATTTTAATTCAATGTGTACATCCTATAAAATGATTATTTCCATTTAAAATTGTATTTCTGTTCTATACACACAACTAATGTTTGGTTAATGTTGGTTAGAAAAACAATAAAGGATAAGATGTAAAATGACAAATTTAAAACGCGGCACACATGACGTGGTATCATCATCACAGTTTTATTACGTGACTTTGTACAATAAAAATGACCAAAAAAAAAGAACAAAAAAAATAGAAAATATAGATGCCGTATATAATCAAAAGCTAAATGTGGTTTTTGAGCATGACCAGCTGTGGGTGAGAGCTCCAACAGAACAGACCTGTTACTAAAACAACCAATCAGGAACAGCTAAAGCAGCAGCGCCACCACCTGGCAGTGAGTTTGGAGGACAACTGAGAACAGGCGAAACGTCTATGAAGAGCTTTCATGGCTGTTTTAAGGTGACGGACTGTAGGACTGTAGATATTATTTAAAAGTTTCTGAGAAAGCAGTACCAAAAAAATAGTTCGCCAAGTGGCGGCGATTTCTGACTTAGGCATTAAAGTAACAGATCAAGAAAAGCAGCTCACCCTCCATTTTACACACCAGAGAGAAAAGGAGACACTGTAGGTGGCCGTCATTGACAGACAGGTGCAGCATATTTATAAATGCATCATAATTTAACAAAGAAAGGAAAAAAAGAAGAAAAAAAAACCCTCACTGTTTCTATTCTTTTTATTCAAATTTAGCAAAAAGCTCATTTTGCTTTCAACAGGTTTTGTCCAATATCACACCAGCACAAACGATGTTATATGCAGTCTATACAAAAACAATGACAGTTCATTTTAATGCTGGTAAAAAAAAGAAACTACACTAAAACAAAGGTACAGTCAGTAATTAATATGGAAAAGTCTCGGCCACATTATGACACATTTATAAAGGCTTTGTGAATGGCTACGCTATCACTTTAACACAGTGTCTCCACAAACAACACAACTGTAGCAGGGCTGATATATAATAAGACAAAAATTAACAGACGACATAAAACAAAGGTGAACAAAACGTTAACGATAAACAAAAAAGTTATACAATGCGGTCCAAGGCTAGATAACTTAAATTACACAAAATGGAAGAGCTTAACATTTCTTGAGAGAGAGAGAGAGAGAAAAAAAATTAAAGCCGCAAAGTTTTTTTTTATTATTATTTTTTTATTAAAAAAAAAAATTAACAAATGAATCGCCTGAGGTGTATTTCAGCCTTTAGGTTTTTCGGATGGAGTCTGCCAGTGTTGGAGGAGGAGGGCGGCCCTCTGCTTTATAAAACTCTGTGACTAAATAAGAGGCGGGGGAATTTTAAAGAATAGTAAACATATTTACTGGGAACAGGTACCTTCCCTAAACAGCACTATAGCTCTGATTTCTCTCTATAGCTGGAAGGCGTTTGTAAGTTATGAACCAAAGAAATATGATTGTTCAAGCTCAGAGTCCAGAGAGGTTAATGCACGTCTACTGGTCAGATAACGTAAATGTAATTATAGACTTTCAGGCCTGTAATAGTTCAGTAGGACGCCCTTCCCCTCTCCTGTCTTAACCTTGCAGCTGTCCCCTCACCACACAGACAGACACCAGGTGAAAAGGAGGGGCGATATTTTTCTTTTTGGTTGACCGACAGACAGTCCAGGCTGGCTTTATTGGCAACTAGTACAAGGTGGTGGTCCGAACGCTTTAAAAGATCTTCTTCTTTTTGTTTTTTTCCAAGGTCCTGCGGAGGACAAGAACAAGGGCTATAAAAACCAAACAAACCTTCTGCATGTAAATAAAATAAATCTAATAAATCCAGACATTGTGTTTGTGTTAGCTCCTGGTCACTTCACATAATATCGTCGCTGTCCAAAGAAAAAAAATTATCTCCAAAACAGTAACTTTACAGGAGAGGGCAAAAACGTTCTTTACTTTCAATGCAAGAGATTTTATTCTTAGCGATTTTGGAGCATTTCTATTGGTCCAATCATAAAATTTTCCCACAGTGTAAAGGACGGCTGCTGAGCTCAAATGATGCAGAACAGAAAAATCACATTAAATGGAGATACATGTTTTTCACTGGACAAGGACGCCTACATTGAATTCAGCTCACATATGCAGAGGATGCTTTTTTCTGTACACATTCTCTGTGTTCTGAACATTAACTTTGTTTCCATCAACTTTCTCAACAAACTCTAAATGGTAAAATGAAAATGTGTAAAAACTTGCAATCTTTGATCACTTTTATGCCAACAACACCAAACAACTTTTCAACCGATTTCACTGTCATCTCGATCGTTTAGTGTGAGGTGGTCAAGATGGCAGTCTTGATGCTATGACAAAATCAACCATGTTTAATATTATCGTAGGTTTTAAGTCCTGGCTCATGCGGGGGGGGGGTGAATGCGTGAGAGCCTGAAATCTCTGTAAAAAAGGCAAATCTGCTCCACTTTAATACAATAATCATATTAACTTAAAATGTAAACTGACTGTTCTAATATTTCACATTCACTGAGTGTAACAGTGATGTTAGGAAATGTGCAGAGGACTTTAAGAATAGCATTATTTAAGAATCATCAATGTTTTTTTCCTTTTTTTTTTTGCTTTGTTACACTGTTTTTTATGGTTTAGTTCATATCACCCAATCAACAATGCTGACTCGCTGCATGTTGTGTTGATGTGTAAATCTTTATATCAAATTTAAAAAGTAACTACACATTTTACAGGTTGATTAAAGTAATTCTGGGTCATGATCTGCCTGAGTATACAGCTCTACAGTGAACTGAACTGAGCCCCTCATCTTTACATGCTCAGCCAATGTATCTTCCCATCTGTACCACTATAGAGTGGAAAGAAAAGTGTTTATCTGCTTGTAAATTTCTACCAGGTGCATGATGGGGAATGATCTCAAAAATCCAGTTGCAGTCTGGCAAATAGTGACACTGCAAGATTCCTAGTCTTTGGAAAATCACAGTCTGTGACTAAAAACCATGAGTGTCTTTAGATGTGAGAGAGTGTCAGACTTTGGTCTTTCAAAAGTCTTTTCAAAGTCTTCTAGTGTATCGTTAGCTTTAGTGATACAAACGCTTTATGTAATTATCATTTCCTGACTCAAAAATAATACAAAAAAACCTTTTTGGACAAGTTTGGATTTATTGATAAGAAATCTGTTTTTAACACATGTAATTACATGTATGTCTCAACTTAATTTAGGCTTCCCTAACTTCCCCATATCTTAATTCTGTTTATTTAATTAATTAATTAATTAATTTATTATTATTATTCCATTGGAAACATTATGCTAGAGATCCTGCCAAATAGGGCTGTTTGAGCTCTTTCCATTTAGAAAGGCTGTGGTCTTTTCTGGACGTCTCTCCCTGTAAGACACTGAGGTGGTCCTTACTTGGTCTTCACCAATATAATAAAGCAAATGATCATGCTAATCGTAAAGGTAATAGCAATGCTTCTGTTTGTGCTAGCGTGTGTACTAGCGTGTACCTGGAGGCGTCTAGTTTCTGCTGCTCCAACAGATACTGCTGGGCCTCCCAGCTGGCCTTCTCCTCCTCATACTGCCTCCTCTTCTCCTCCAGCTCCTTATGCTGCGCCTCCAGGTTCTTTTTCATCTGCTCATGACGTCTCTGCAGCTAAAGGAACAAACACAGCGGGGCAAGCAAGCTATAAATCTTGGCCACAATGACTTCAGTCACACTTGGCTCAAACGACACAATATGATTGGCTGAGAAGTGTTCAACCTGTTTATTTTCACGAAAAAAAGTTTAAACATGTCTAGTCAAACTGCATGTTTTGTTGATTTTCTAAGTGAAAATCACACCCTCTACAGTAGGGGTGTCAAATCTGTGGGCCAGAGAAAAACTCCTTGAGACCACCTTTTCAACTCCTTGAGACCACCAGTGGTTCCATATCCTTTCATATTTCATAAGCTACATTCAAAAGGTGGGGGTCGTATGAGAGCTGTAACTGTCTTCTTTCCAGTCAAACAGATGGGTGCTGTAATTATAAACCTTTATAATAAAAGAAGCTGAATTGTTTTTTTTTGTCTACTGAAAGTCGACCCATTTTTCCACAAATCTGGGCTATAAACTAGAAACAGATGGCGTCTCTTCAGTGATCTGCTCTGTAAAAATGATTTTAATAAAAAAAAATACAAAGAGCGTCTAAGATTTTTGGCTTTCAGCAGTAAATTGTAAGCATATAGCAATGTGTGATCATAAAACACATGTTCTGTTAATTTAAGAGGAGCTTTTAAAATAAATAAATAGATCAATAAAATAAAAAATTGCATTTATTTCATGCAGTTGCTGAATAATTTGCCTTATGATTTGGTCATGTAAATTCAGATGGACAAACCAAAACATACCCTGGTCAATAAGAGGTCAATTAATGTGCTGTAACCTGAACTGGCCATTGTTTATTCAAAATACGCAAAAACTTCAACAGTAAAATATAGGCAGTTGTAGTAAACCTTGAAATATTACAGGGACACTTGAAATACTCAAAATGTAAATGTCCAAAGGAGCTCCGTCTTTTAAACCTACCTATTTGCCTGAATTAGACTCCTGGCATCCTTTCCTTGCAGCAAGTTCATTAAGACAGGCTCAATTTCTGAGCTGCTGATCTGACGTTAATTGTTTATATTGGTTTCAGCTGCAGCTGAAATGCATTTGGCGATATGACTGGTGAAATTGTGTAGAACTGAGGTGTAACCGCTGTCCCATAGATTGTTATTGGGATAGGAGAGTTGGAGCACATTATGTTGCAGTGCATGATGGGGACTGTAGTGCAGTGCACTGTGAAACGGGCTAATATTAACTGAAAATTAAAATACTTCTGCGGGCCGTATAGGACTGTGTCATGGGCATGATCTGGCCCGTGGGCCTTGTGCTTGACACATGAGCTCTACAGAGAGCACTCTTAGATATGGCATGTTTCTACTAATTTTAAGCAGAATTTCTATTTATTTCCTGATTTTAACATATTGAAAAGAATTAAGGCAAAAACAAAGAGTGCCATCATTTTTGTAAAGGCAACACTTTATCTTTTGTTTTTTCCCAGTATATTAAATTCATCAAATTAAAATTAAAATGTGCGGAAGTGTGTTCTCTGCAGAGGGTGTGTTCACTTATTATCACTTAGAAAATCAACAAAACATGTCATTTGTCCAGGGGCACCCAAACCTTTGTATAGAAGAGTAGATTACTCGATTACTAAAACAAACTGTGACAGGAACAGGCCGGTTTTTGTACCTCTGCCTCAGAATCTTTCAGTTTCTGGAGCTTCTCCTTGACCTTCATCTCAAACACCTGCTCCATCTCCATCTCCATCTTCTTCATCTTAGCCATGTGCTCTCTCCTCTCCTCCTCCATCTGCGCCAGAGGACTTCTGCTCACAAACACCACACAAACAGAAAAACACACAGGCAGATGCGCAGATGCACACAGTTATCAGTTTGATCTGGTCCAGCAAAAAACAGAGCCCAAAAACAAACACCCAGTGAACATCCACCTGTGGGGTAGAGGGGAGAGGAAAAAAGAAGGAAAAAGGGAAAACCCGTAACGTGGGAAGGCTTTAGGACCCGAAGCTAAAGGGCTGAGCTTCCTTAGAGCCTGCATTAGTGAGCGAAGCTGCGGCAGGGTTAGTGAACTGCAGGAAAGCTTAACACACGGACATCAGCACGTCAGCAAGGATGTCGATAGCAAATATCTATTCCAGAATTATGTGGGGTAATATTTTAATTTGAATTGTTTTCATTTAGCATTTAGGAGCAGCAGGAAAATGAATGAATGAATGAATGAATGAATGAATGAAAGGTTTCTCAGAGTACAAGGATGACAATCATGTTTATGTTCTAAGTTTGTTCGGCAGTCTAAAGAACTGACCTATTCAGGCCACGCCCACAATCATGTAGCTTTAAAGGGCCAATATACTACACTTTCCTTACATTTTATATCTTTCCCTGAGGCTCACTTATAATCTTTGTGTCGGTTTATGTACTAAAATGTACGCATTTTATTCTCACATGATCATTTTACAACTTTCATTGCTTACAACTAAACAGCCTGTTTTTGTTACTGTGCCCTTAAGAATGGAATATGTAAATGAGCTTGGTTCTGATTGGCTGCTCTTTATTGTCTCTCATTCAAAAGCAGGCCAAAACACTCCACAGAACTTCAGCCTGAATGAGAGGAGCTAAATAGCTGCAGGCCAACTAGACAGATATATGTAAATGTGTTAGATTTTGTGACATCACAAAAACAATGAATTTAAAACAGGCCGTTTTTGCAGCTTAGTTTCCATGTATGAACTGTATGGACTGTAAATAGTAATTTTAAAAATGTTTACGTACTGCATCAAACCGTTTAAAAAAAAAACTGAGAAAAAATTTGTTTTCCATGATCCAGGTCTTTAAAAAAATACAATTTAACCTAAATATACACATCATGTGCGTTACTTATAATTCTTTTGAGTGTATTCAAGAATTTAAGGGATAAAAATTTGGTTGATATGTTAAGCAGAAAGCTCAACAGCTGTTTTAATGTTGTTAGCTGCTTAACATCATAGCCAACAGTAGTTACTACTGCAGCTTGGCTGACGACATTTCACTGTCATACATGCCAAATACACAAACAGTACATCAAAAACACAAAGCTAAAGCAACATAAAGTCCTGAGAAATATCAATAAAGTAGATCTTTAGACCTCAAACCTCTAGAAAGCTTGAAAATATTCAGCTATGAAGCTCTCAGTAGCTCTAAATGAGGGTGAGATTAACTGTTACACGACATAAAATCGGCACCCGATCTATGTTAGCAGTGTGATTTAGCATTTAGTTTAATGAACAAAACAAAATAACAACAGCTGAGAAAGAACTTAGCAACAGTAGCCATGAAAGAACACATTTGTGGGCGGGGCCTGGACAGTCTACATATACATTGGAGAGACTAAAGACCTGGTCTGGTTATCTTCTGAGCTGGTCAGCATCATCAGATATCAAAACCATGCAATGTGACTTACGATTATCTCACTATATTTACTACATGCAGTTGTATGCAACTAAGTTTGAACACCACCGTCAAATTACACATTCTGTTGATTTTTAAAGTGAAAACACTAACATGTCCTCTAGACAGAACACACAAATATGACACTGTGCACTAAAATATGTGCAAATTTTTGTGCACAATTTCTTGCACGGGCCACATTGTTTTCTTCCTGATATATATATAATAAATAAGTTTATATAAAGTTAAAATATAAAGTTTTTTCTCTGTAGAGAATGTGTTAACTTATTTTCACTTAGAAAATCTTCAATACAAGTAATTTAAACAGCTGTGCCCAAACTTTTGCACACAACTGCATAATCTTTAAACTTTATATACTCTTTGCAGCTACCATCCCACAGACTGAGGCTGCTTGAAGCTGGGCACCTGCTATAGAGACGAGCAGGGAGAAAAGGGCAGAAAACGAGGGCAAAAGACGGCAGAGGAGTGTATTACAGCGTCTACCGGTGAACTGAAGCGAGCCACTTACATGCCTTCAACTGTGTCAACTCTAAAACAAGAACAGAAAACACACAAACTTTAGCATGCAGCCGACGTCCTCCTGTCTGCTCGTGCTTCTGGATCGTACTTGAGGACGTTTGGCTGGGTTTATTATACATGAGTGGCTCTGAGGGCTGGATAAGTAGGGAGTTAGTGGGAGCATGGTCTGTTTGGACTGTGAGGGTGCAGAGTTAGCTGTTCCAGCACTGTGTAAAGGCAGCAGACTGCTCTGTGCATTAGGTGTGTTGGTAGTGGGGTTAAATTAGACTGCAGCCTTGAGCTTCACTGGGCTCTTTTGGATGGGAACTTCACTAATATTATTATAAAGGTGACAAACACATTGTGGTGAGACCTCAGTATGAAAAACCACATGATTCATTCTGTACATATACAATCGTTCAGCTTTGTTGCCTGTTTATTTGGAGCACCTATCTTTTATTTACACTCACTGGCCACTTTATCAGAAACACCTACCATGTGTAGAGGGACAGAGCCCATCATATATCGGTATCGGGTCCGCTATTGACGTCACTTCACTGATCGGATATCGGACAGACAGGGCCGATCCACTTACTGATCCATTTTCCAGTCCGCAGCTTACGCTGGACCATGAACCCGCCGTAACGTAACATAACATAATCCAGATTTCATTCCACATCTTACCATGAACCCGCAGCAACTTCAGTCTGTAACTGATTGAGCATATAACATTAGCTGTTTGTTTGACCAAAATGTGGTTTGTTTGGAGATATTTTAGTCTAGAAATGCCGCAAAGCAAGACCGTTACTTGTAATGTGTGTAAAGCCATCGTGCCGAGCGGTAGAAGTATGTCTGTGTCGTACAACACAACCAGTTTAATCACCTGCAGATGTTTCACCGGAAAGAGTACCAGGAGTTCATGCTAGCTAACAGACAGGAAGACACTGTCAGGCAGCGACTGTCGCTCATGCTTTCCAGAAACGTGATAAACTCCCATAAGCTTAGTGATTGGAGGATTAAACACCTTAAATACAACCTTAAACACATTACCATCAATAATAATGATAATATTAATTTTAAAAAGAGCTCTCTTATCAGAATCTGTATCGGCAGTTGTGTATCGGAATCGAATCGGAACTGAAAAAAATGTGGATCGGCCCATCACTAACCATGTGCACAATTTCAATGCACGATAACAAAGGTGGGTTTGCGTGCTTCACTTTCTACTGGCTGTATTTCCGGGATGTGCTGTACGTTGAGGACAGATTTGCTGCAAACGAGGCTCTCCAGTAGATTCTCTCCTGGCGTCTTTGGATGGATCTACTGTACATTTCTCACACTGTATTTTTCTTATTTTTAAATGGATACAAGTCCTCATCAAGCACCTGTTATTTGTAGTGGTAGCCTTAGCTCATTAGCACATCTATGGGGCAGTGAACAGGGAACAGTGTTTTCCTTATACTACATTAATATCAGGAGAAAAGCAACAGGTTTCCTGTGCTTTTTGCCATTTCGGGACATATTACAGCTTAAACACAGAGAGTAGGAGCTTTTATCAGACTGTGTATCTTGTAGTTTACTGCAACTGCTTCATTTAAAGATTTGAAATTGAAGTCTGTTAACATCACAGACACAGCCTGTAGCCTGTTAGAGTCAACCCACACCAATGTCATGCTGTAAATAAATAAAGTGTTGTTAAATATACCTTTGATTAACTAGTTATCGTCTTTAGATTTGCTCATTTTTCCCCCTACCGGGTCAGCTAATGCATATGTGAGTCAACCGATGTGGACGTGCAAGCAAAAGTGACTACGAATCAAATTTGGTCAACTGTACCTTGAAATCTGAACAGTCGACCTGAAGAGTCTGTACACAAGTACAGACTGTACACAAGCACGGTGGAGCTACAACAGAGGTCTTTTTAATAAAGTGGCCAGCAAGTGTACACAGTGCTTATAAACCCTTGCAGCGCTGCTGTTGCATAGCAACAGATGGGCTATAGTCTTTAACTGTAAACCTACGAAGTGAATCTGCATGGTAGGCGTTTCTGATAACACAGTCAATGACTGCAGGTACGGGGTATGTGACCCGTGATGCAGTGCACCCTGACACACAGTCAGGGTCCCACATACTCACTTGGTGAGCTGGCCTTTGCTCTTATTGTTGTCAGCTCCGTTGTAGGTGACTGCAGCAAGCTTCCTGCTGCGGTAGTTCTCATAGTGGACGTTATTAGTCACATCCTTCAGGTCCTGCATGTGGGTCCTGCACAAAAGAATCGAAGAGAACAGAAACGATAAAAGCAGAAGTCCTTTATAAGCCATCTGCCGTTGTTGGAGTACAAGGAGGATCACCAGCCTGTTTCTGAATGGATGAATAAGGTTGCCATAACAGCAAAAAAAATCACCTCAGCACTGATGCCAAGTGTAGTTTCAGAGTGCTCAAAACCAAACAGGTATTATGATAAAGTAAAACCACTGTGAACAGTAAAGGTTTACTGGACTGAACACTAAAAAAAATCAACAGTAACAGTGTAACATCTCTGATTTTTGTTCACTTTATTTCACTTTAAACTTCTACTTTCTAATAGTTTTTCCTTATATGAATTTAAAGTGAATTAAAGTGAACAAAAATCAGATGTTATGTTGTTACTGTTGGATTTTTTTTTTCTTTCTAATAATTTTTCCTTATATTTTTTAGTTTGTTTTTAGTGTTTTGTTTTTGTTCTTTGCGAATCAAAGAACTGTTTTCTTCATTTTTGGTTGTTTTATTTCACTTCAAGGCCCATTTCACTGTTTTATTGTGTATCAATGGCTTTTACTGTCACATGCGTCTATTTATTCATCATTTACCATTTTGTTAATCAATTAAATCTCTTCAAATGTGTAAACAAAAGAAAAAAAAATAAACATGACATGTTTGGCCAATTTAGCCAATTTTACATGTGTAAATTGATTGACCAACAGGCAGAATACAGTATCAGTGTAGTGTTACCTCCTTTGAACAAAGCACTGAATTGTTTAAAGAACTGTTTGAATAGTTTACCATTTACCATAAAAACATGCAGAACATTTAATGCATCATGATACACTTAACCAAAACACCTTATTCAGAATCATGAACATACCTGATGAGCATGTTTCGTAGGATTGTGAAGTCACAGTGCTCTCCATTCTCAACTGAAAAAAAGACAAAGAGAAAGATGACAACACTTGATCTCTGCTGCACCGTTCTGCCTGCAAAACCACTGACAAAGTGACCACATTCAACTGCATCTTTTACACTATATGGCCAAAAGTATGTGGACACCCCTTCTAATTATCAAGGTCAGGTGTTTTGGCCACACTCATTGCTAACAGGTGTTTAAAATTAAGCACACTGCAGTCTCCATAGACAAACACTGGCAGTTGAATGGGTCATACTGATGAGCTCAATGACAATGTGGCACTGTCATAGGATGCCACCTTTGCATAAGTCAGTCTGTGCCCTGCTAGATCTGCCCCTGCATCTAAGAGCAACACAGTGCTTACAGACAGACTGAACAGACTGAGTAGAGTGAAAACTGTGTCCTGTGTACAAAGCGAAGTCCTTAATAACACAGTTGGGTGAGGTTGGTGTGGAGGAACTGCATGGGTCTGCACAGAGTGACTTAGTGTCAACGTTACCTTGACAACAAGCATCACGTGAGTCCAGTCAGAGTGAGATGAGCAGCAGTGAGCAGTGCTTGTAATTGTAATTGCTTTAAAATGATGTCAGACTCAGGAAAACGTCCTTCACATGTCCTTATTAAAGAAGGCCGAGAGGAAGACGTCGTGTTCTGAGACACATAAGCTGGACGTCCGTCCCACCGCCGTCTTTTAAAGATCAGAGCATAAACTTCGTCTCCTCTGCAGACCAGTTTCTGCTCCGCCATGTTGAACGGTATAAATTTACACTATGACGCGACGCACATGATCAGAACGGACTTAAACTTTCAGATAGGGAATGTAATCAGATACAGGCGTTTACATGGATATTGTTCTTCTATTTAACGGATTATTTACAGGATTACCCACCTCGTTCAATCAGATAGAAATTGTTTTCCGAATGGCCTCAATCAGACCAGCCTATTCCGACTGAGGTGTTTACATGGACGTATTCTATTCTGATTGAGCTATTAGTCGGATTATTATGTTGCATGTAAATGTGGCTAGTGTCTTTATCAGAAATTAAAAAAAAAAAAAAACTAAAAACGTCATTCATTCAAGTTACAAATGTAAACTCTATTAGCAGGAATAAAATTTTAGCACGGAGCATTTATATGTAACATTGTCACCAGCAAATCCCCCCTCATTTTTACTAGTGTGCCAAGTCAATTTCCACATTTAAGAATTTACTAATGAGTTTCTGTTTTCAATAAAACAAAGGCAAAGGCTGCATTAAAAGCTGTGCCATATTAGTCAGAAGAATCTTTGCAGACCAGTTTGACCATTTGTCCATACTTTCAAAAGCACTAATGGGGGCGGGGCAGAACAATTTTCCTCCAGTTTAGCTCAGCTGCTGACTGACTGATTACCCTGTTCACACCCTGAGTGTGACGGAATCAGGAAAATGGCCGGAGGGTGAATAATGTGAATGAAGCCGGGAAACACAGACAGCTCCACCCCACTGAGACCGCTCTAACTGGATTCCACTAGTGCCTCTGCAGTGATACCCAATTCAGGAATGACTGTGTGGTTACCAGTGACATCTTTACACTGAACTCTCAGTTTGTGATGCTACCAGCACATTCACTCTTAATACAAAAAAAAAAACAGAAAAAAACAACTAACGACAGTCACTACGGCTTTAATATAGTACTGATTAGATAAACTCTGGTAGTATTGAGTAGATAAAATACTGGACTTTGAGGAGAGCTTTAAAAATGGTTAAGATAACCCACCTATCAAATCACAATGCATTGTTTATGTACTTGTTTTTACTTTGTTAATGTTTTAATGCCCAGATAAAATGCTATAAGACTGTTGCGCAATACTATACTGTATACTTTAAACCTTGTAGTTAACAGAACTATAATCCAAAACTGTTCATTTTCATATTGAACTAAATTATAGTGAACAGATTTCAGCTAAAAAGCATCCTTAAGTTACAGTGTTAGCTTTAATTTATTTATTTGTTAAATTATCAGGGGAGTTCTGCGGTGAACTTTTTACCAAGGAGCACAGGTGTTCTTGATCTGAAATAAAAAGGAGCAATCAGAAAAATCTACGAGAGCAAATTTAATATGAAGAGAGGCGTTTAATCCAGCAATCAGATTTTTCCTCCATTGTCCCAGCCCTGAACTTCACACTGCCTGAACAACAGTGGAACTATTATTTTCAGTCATTCAGTATTTATGTTCTTGCAGTTTCTTCGATTTCATCAGTTGTTCCGTCTTTTGTCTAATCGACACTAAGCATGTCTTTGTACCAGCAGATCTTACTACTTTGGCCTGGAAGCCTGTTTGCTGGACAAACATCTCTTACTGTGACATCTTCAAAGTTTCAAGTTTTTTTTTTTTATAATATAATGCAATTTACTGTTAAATAGAATCTGGACTAAGACTTGCTGAAAATTAGATGATACATAATATGTTTAACTGATTTAAAAAATTGTTAGTTCTACTGAATGAAGAGCCGTTTTGGGATTGGTTCTTATTGGTGTTCTGAGCCAAATGATCACGGAAAAGAGCCATAATGTCCATCACCAGCTGTGCGAATGTGCAGCTGCTTTCCACTGCATCTGAACTTCAAACAACCCTGGTGCCGCGATCGTTACTAAGCAAAACTCTGCAGAGACACATTTCCTGCTAGTTTTATCTTCCCAATGCAATAAAATTAAACTTTTTTTTTCTTGGTTGTTTTGCTTAGCATCTGAATTGGCTGCCTGTTTAAACACTAGATGCCTGCATGGAAAATCAACATACTTGGCTTTAATTAGATGCTGCAAATACGTAGCTAAGCCAGATGTTGGCTGTTTATGTGACTTTTTTTTAATGCTTTGTTTATACTGTAGAGCCCTGTACAAACTAACCAACATAATTAATTTACATGTAAATGTGCCAGATTTAGCCAAAGAGCTCATTTTCATCTGCTGGCCTTGAAGGAATGTACTGCTGTGCAATGTGTTGTAGTGCTTTTTGTGATTGTCCATTGTTTAACGGGCTGGCTAAATGTCTGGGTACCTTTGTGCAAGAAAAAAAAAAATCAATTCCCCAGACATAAGGCTAGATTCTTCACCCTTGAGCAGGTTGCCATTTATGAACAATACAGGACAGAATTAAAAACATAATTTACGACCACACACAATAAGTACTTTACTGTAATACACTACACATCCAGCAGATGGCGTATGAAATCCCCATAATCTCAATGCGCCAGCTGACTGTGTGAATGCTGATGGACGGCCAAAACCTTCCCCCTCACGACCACATGCCATTTTAAGCTTACATGCCGCCTGTCAAAACTATCTCAGTCATTCGAAACCCCTTCTGAGGACGCATCAGTATCGCTGCAGAAATGCCTGTATTGGCTCTGAGGGTGCACTGGACACATAAACCCACTTACACACCCACATGAACACACACTGAAGCAGTATCAGTGACAGAACACAGACCACTGTTTACTAATAGAGCCAAGCTATTTCTCGCAGGCAGAGTTTCAACGCCATGTGATGATCTTGACCCACTTTTCTTATCTAAACAGCTTTTCTCGAGCCTCTGGAAGAATGAACTCCAGAGCATTAGCACTGATATCAGTTCAAGTTGCTGAGAAGACGTAGCTGAAGCTCTTCAGATTTCAGTCTGGGTCATTGGGGGAAAGAAAAGGAGGGGAAAACCCACCCTGACATTTACTCTGACAGAGTCGCTTCATCCAAAATGATCACAGAAAGGCCTGACACAATCTGAGAATAGACTGTCACTTTCATTAGAAAAAACTAAAAAAAAACAAAAAACTTGAGCGCGATTTATCTTAGTCCGCTTAAATAATCTTCAAAGAAAAGCACTGACCAATAGAATGGGACGCTTTGGAAAAGCTGCCCAATGCCAAGCGTGCTCTAGAGGGCCATAAAGCCCCCCAGCTTTGGGCTGTGGAGCAGTGGAACTGCATTCTCTGGAGTGATGGAGCTCAATCCAGTACCTTTGGAATGAGCTGTGATCCATCAGATGTCAGTAACTGACCTCACTGGCTGAATGCAATCAAATCCTCACAACAAAGTTGCAACCTCTAGAGCAGAAGAGTGCAGTCTCTACTCGTCTTCCCTGCAGAGTAGAGACTGTTACTGCAGCAAAGGTCTAGACAGTGTCCATACATATATGGATAAGAACATACACACACAATACTGTGCAAAAGTCAAAGGCAGCCAAGAAAAATGTCTAAAACCTGTCCGGCGACAACTGTGTTCCTGCCTGTAAAAATACAGGGAGATTCACTCGAAAGAGGCCCCGAATATTCTGTAGTAACTCTCGCTGGGGTGAAGCAATCTGAACGAAACAACATGCAATGAGCTCCTCAGTATATGGAGCTTCGAATAAGCCGGGATGTTCCTGCGTTCGAGCCATGAGGTAGGCGTCGGACAGCCATCACGACATTTAACCTCCATTTCCAACTTCCAGGTGCATACCCCTGTACGCCTTCATGTGTCTGGCAGAAAACGGAGATCACTTCCAGCATTGCATGTAATGCAATCGATTACACATACAACAAGGTATGTAGCAGATTTTTTAGGCTCAGATTGCTTCATCCTAACGGGAGTTACAGCAGAATATTCAGGGCCTCTTTCAATGTAACATTGGAACAAATACAAATAAAATAAAAATACATTAAAACCTAAGTTTTTTTTTAGTGACGTTATGAGTATGTAGGTAAGAATACAGTTAGAAGAACACAGGTCTGGTTCCTGACTTCTCGCTGCTCTCCACACATCACATGGATTTGTTCAACTCCATCATCAGCCCAGAGGATCGTTTATTTGTTTTACTTGTATTTATTTTTAGTGCTTTTTCAAACAAATAAATGCTTACTGCTGAGATAAATGGATGGATCATTTTCTCTCATGACTCTGCACAGTACTGCAAATAAGTGGAAGAAAAATACATTTTGGAATTTGTTGAAGACGGACGAGCTGCCAAATACAAGTATATGCAATTTTATCTTGAACATTCTAACATCAAAATCCTTTCAAAGTATTGCTCTGTACGTTTTCTCCCTCACGCTATTACATAAAACTAGACTGACAATTCATAATGTCTCCAAAGGTTACAACCGCAGTCAAGCATACTTCATACAATATGTTAGTGTCATTGACCAGTAACGTGTGAGGTGACAACTACAGGAGCTTCCTGTCTGAAGTATATGAAGACTCTCACTTCCTGCCTGCTGTGTGATTCTGTTCATTTTCACTACCGGCCTGCATCCTCCCACCTTACACTGACTCAACACCGCATCTCAGGCTCTGTATCACAAGCTACACTTCCTATTATGCCTTCTAGTTCTCCTCTTTATTAGTGTGCATAAAACCAGGCACACACTGCGCGATTTTAACCTGCTTCTAAGCCCCATTTGGTAGCAGATGAGTGAATTTCAGCAGGACGGGGCAAAATTTCAGCTTCGCTGGTCATCGTTTGACGTGCGGTGTGAGGAGGAAGCAACGCCCGATTAACTGCTCAAATAAGCTTCAATAAACCCTTTTCACACTTCCGTATCTGACGTCATCATAGTAGGGAAAACATTACAGCAGTGGCAGCATTTTCAAATGAGAATGTAGACAAAGTTCTCTTTTATAATCCCTCTGATGACGACGACTCGCCTAGTTTTACATTCTTATGGCATTTTCCTTTTCTTTGACAGTTACCTGCATGACTATGAAGGCAAGCTAAGGATCTCAGACAAATTAGCTGTCTAATGTTTACTAGAACGTAGTCAGTGTAGTGCGGGTGGGGATAAAGTTAACGGTCAGTTATACGTCACTGTCTTTTGGTCATATTATGTGGTTTGACTTTACAGTTTAACCATTTCCCCCGTCTAATGTTAACATTCTGTACTGTGTCCAATTTCCCCTGTCTAATGTTAACATTTTGGACTGTGTCCAATGTTGTGAATGTCCAGTAATATCACTAATGCTACGTTTTGCTGCGGAAGTGTGCCAAAACTACACTGTTGTTATCAACAGGAACGGAAAGATCACTCATAACAAGTATCTAACAATAAACAAAATAGGGCCTGACCAGTATAAATACTGTGACTGATACCAATTTTAAGAGACTAAAAATCCCACTGACCAATCACAGCCGACAAATGTTACTATCTGTATTTTAGATTTTTTATATTTACAGTTTTAACCAGTGCTTTACTAATTGACAGACTGTCAGCCATCAGTTGTCACACTTCAAAAACTCGAACAGACAAACACAAACTTAGAGGCTGAAAGAATATAAACATTGTAGAACTGGGGGTGGAGCATCAGTTCTCCTCATAGAAACAGTTTTCTTTACGTTATCATATTAATCTCATGGTATATGCTGGGTTTGGACACATTTGGCATGATTTAGGTCCAACCTGTATTACTGTGATATATTTAAACAGGCGACTCTTTTTGGTCTGTTACCTTCAGCCACGCCCCAGGGGTACTGCCTCCCTCTCACACGCTTCCCATTCACCTCTATGATGGTGTTACTGCCAACAACCGCCAGAGGCAGCCGATCCTGCAGAGAAACAAACTTTCATAAACACCAAAATAAGCTCAGCCATATAAACTCAGACATCTATACAAGCACCTACCTTCATGGTAGAGCTGGACAAAATGACCATGTTTTTATTGACATCATTGATATAGTCATTGGTATCATACTTAATCCCTTTTTACAGCTGCCATAAAATTCAATTTCAGCCTGTTTCGGAGGGCCCTCAGCTCAGCTTTCTAATTTTTTTTTTTGTATTAAATTAGAAATGTTTAAAACACAAATTATATTTAGTTCCATAATTTTGATTATATTGATAAAAACATTAGCTGAGTTGATTTCTATTCTGCTGGCAGAAAAGCCGCAAGGAAACCTGCAGAAAGGGGTTGAAAAAAGAACACTGACCATCTGCATGTGTTCTTACAAGGACAGCATCATTAGTTTAGCCCGTTTAACTGGATTTAGGGCAGTGCAATTATGTGAAACAGCAAATAAAACTGATTATACTTTTTTGATTGATTTTTTAAATGTGGCACTGTAGGTACATTTGGTCTGTGTGTCAAAATATTCTGACATGCATTGTGTCTCATAAAAATGTCTAAGTATCATTATATTTTACATATATATACATACATACACACACACACACACACACACACACACACACCCAATATCGACCACAATATCGCCCACCCTTAACTCATGGTCAATACCTTCCTTCTGTACTATAATTATTTGTGAGTGAATCCTGATATCCAGGAGAGTCTCTGAGCTAGCTGAGCTTTTTCTCTCCATGATAAGTGGGGGTGGGAGGTGTATATTTTTCCCAGCTTACTGGTGCACAGTGACACAAGTCATTACATTCTGAATTTTGATTTCATGTTGACTTTAACACATTGAATAAATGTGTTGAGAATTTGCCAATTTTCTTCACGAAACTGAAGGAACGGCTGTCAAAGTTGTAGCTTAGGCATAAAGCCAATGTCCACACATTCAATCCCCTGGCTGTGATATCAGAGCTCATCAGCAGTCAAACTTTTCAGGTGTTTAAACCACCTTCAAGCCAAAAGAGTTTCATTATAAGCTTTTAACAACAGTTTGGAAAAGAAAACATTATGTAAAACCTGCTCTTCGTACAAAGAGAGACGCTTTGATTAACATGATGCAGAGTGTTTACTGGGATTTTCTTACTTCATATCAAAATAACAGCGCAAAATGCAGTGTGTCCTCTTTTAAAATACTATATGTACTACATGTGTGGGTGTTTGAGCGAGAGGGAGAGTGTCTATTTGACCTACTTCTCCAAAGCGTTACTAAAGGGAACCATCATCGATTGCCTGCTTCCTGTGCTTAGTTAAAACAGGACAAATCACGTTTCACGTTTCAGCGGTCAGAAATGAACAAATCGATTTAAGCAGTGCCACACTTACTTTATTTAGCGTAAAGCCAGATTTAAAGTGAGATTTAGATCAATTCTAGAGTCTGTAAACAACGATAACCAGTGTACAGTACCTGATAAATTATATTGCAGCCCATTCTGCCGTTATTTTATTAGAGCTGTCAAATCCTGCAACAAATTATTAACAGCAATATTTCACCATTTTCTTAGTTTGACCCTTCAGCCCATCCGTAGTAGCCCAAGCTGAAGCTCAGCTGCAGGGCACTGTCTGTTGCTCTGATAGAACCTGTGATTGTAGACCTCTTGCTCAAATGCATCTTTAAAATGGCTTTTAAAGTAAAACCTTCAGCACCTTAAGCAGACTACACTGGACAGTGCTCACGGAAGAACGATGGAAAAATCAACAAGCAGCAAACCATTGATTAACAGCTTGGCGGAGCTCCAGTTTCCTTCAACAGCCTCCACTGTTGGAAGAATCCACGAGTTGTATGAACCACTGACCGTAAATGGGGTATAGATGATATATACATTCATTGGAACACTGCTGCTCTCACTGGATGTCGGTGATGAAAATTGGAAACTCTGTAGAAGTGACTTTCCTGTTTAGGTTCTGCGTTCACGCAACAAAAATAATGTTACTGAATTACTGACAGTAAAAAATACCATGTGATGAAACTTATTTTGTCCACTTATAACTAACAACATGCACAGATTTTAAAATGGAGGGAGGTTTCTTTAGGGTCACAGTTGAGCAAATAATACAAATAGGATTAATTGACCACATAAACTATGTACATTTGTGATTAATTGCAATTAATTGCTTCAATAGTTTGACAGACGTACTTACTAAGTTAATTCAACAATTAATGGCTTTTTCCTTCTGTTTGTTACGAAATAAGTTACTTTTACAAATGTTGTGAAAAAAAGGAGTTCATGGCTCTACAGTTTTGTTGATATACAGGGTGATTCAAAAAGATTAATCTGATTTTAAAATGATTTATTTCCCTTGTAAATCATTACAGAACAATGCAGTAAACTGTAAATGGTTTAAATGAGCATGAAGTTTATTATGTAATTTTACAAGTGTTCAATATGAACCTCCTTCAGCTTTACGGACAACATTAACGCCATAGTCAAATTCATCCCATACTGGATTGAGCGTGTCGGGTGTCGCTGCACTCATGGCTCTTTCAATGCGATTTCGGAGAATCCAGTCATCCAGTGTTGTGGAACCAACGACGAACGCTCTGAGCTGCTGGAGGTTCACTGCTGATGAAAATCACGCTGCACAATTATGACGGATTCACTCTTATTGAGTGAGTGGTGAACACAGAACGCTTTCTGCTCAGGGGTCTCATCTCCTCTCAGACTGAAGGGAGGCATCTTCCACTGACGGTCAGAAACTCTATGTCCCCCTCTTTCAGTTGGTGTGTGATTGGTTCCTAGGCGCCTCATAGTTATAAAAATATGGCCTCTATGAATCTTTTTTAATCACTCTGTCAAAATTCTGTCTAAATATTGTGATAGATATCATTTACTGTGAAAATGACGATGTGTTGTGATACACATTTGCCATACCATGTGGCCTAAATGTTGTTGCAAGCAGAACCAGACACAAATAAACAACATGAAAAAGCAAAATTGTTGGCCAGGCTTTTTTTTCCCAATTAAATCTATACAGACGTGAAGGGATTTTTTGGAAGTGTGCCATTTTCGTGCTACCAAAACCAGAACACAAAACCCAACACTCCAATTCATTTAATGTTGTTCATGATTCACACTTGGTATGTAAAAGCCTTTATAGTGAGAACATACAAACCTTAATCTTCTTCACTAGCTTGTTCTCCTCCTCATCGTCCGTTTCTGGAAATTCATAGATTTTTATTTTATGCTCCTGGATTTCTCGCATTATCTGTGGAGAGCAGTAGAAAACTTCAGAGGTAGCACAAAGAGAAAGACTTAAAAACGAGAGAAAATGCATGAGATACTGCAGAAATGGAAATCTGGAAATACTTGTGATGATTATCTTATTTGGAAAAACTGCTGCATAACCTTCTTGGTTTGCTATGATTATTTTGCAATGGAACGTAAATTTCTACTTTAGGCTACAGTTCAAAGCACAGTTGCTTCATACAGACTAACCCAAACTATGTGAGCTTGCAGATACATCTCTCCTTTGGAATAGAGGTTAACGGTGAAGTTATCAGTTTCAACTCCAGCAGTGCTGCCTCTAAATACACAAATCGCAGATTTGACTCGTCCTAAACACTTCAAAAGACCAAACATGAGCTGAAGGCAATTCATAAAAACGCTGGTAATGATTTTGTGCGCCAGCTGATTTTCTGTTTGGTTCAGTGTCCCATTTTGAACTCTTATATAGGGCAAATCTCACTCTCTCAAACGGGCCAGTCAATATCACACCGAGAGGAAATCGGGCGCTTAGTCACACACAAACACTTCCAAGCATTGACGACCACTACAACACAACAACCTGACTTTAATTATGTTTGCACAAAAGCTTTGCAGACTAGCACCGGACAGCACCAATACGAACATCTTGTGGTTGATAACGGCTGATATAATTTTATCTTAATTTTATGTTTTACATTTTAATTTTATTTTCAAATAGTTTTAATCAAACCAGTGTTTCACTAAGCTTTTTGACAAGAAGCACTGGTGCACCAGATCAGAAAAACCTCTGGACATAAACTTAACATGAACTTGTTTTATTCCCTATTTTTGCTTATTCCTCCCATCAGTCACAGAGGATGTTTAATTCAGCAATCACATTTTCCTATATTGTCCAAGCTCTTAACTTTACACTACTTGAACAATGCTGAGAGCTTAAAACGTATGGAACAGGTTTAAATACCCCCATTATTAATCTGTGATGGGGAACAGACCTCCTCTCATTGTGCTCTATTGGACTTAACATAATATAATATTACATTACACTCTGGTTCAGAGAAGTAAACTTAGCAAATGTGGAGCAATGAGCGCCTTCGGTTAGCTACAGCAAACTGTGACATTTCTTACAGACCTGCTGAAAAACCTCAATTTAGATTGAACAAAGACTCAGACCTGCTTCTTGAACTGTTGGCATTCCTCTGGAGTCAGTGTGTCGGCTTTGGCGATGAGAGGGATGATGTTCACTTTTTCATGTAACCGTTTCATGAACTCGATATCCAGTGGCTTCAGTCTGAAAGAAAAAAAAATCCCACTTTATTCTGAGTGGTCCTTTGTAGATGATTAATAAACTCATCAGATTATCAGTAACACATCAACATATCAGTGCAGTAGCAGTAGTGAAGCATCTGAATACACTAATATCTTGTAGATGTTCTGTTAATACGTTACTTCCATTACGCAAAACCTAACCTTACCAACCTCACCCAAAACCTAACCCTCACCCTGACCCTAATCCTAACCTTAACCTCAACCCAAAACCCACTCCTAACCATTACCCTGGCCCTAATCCTAACCCTAACCTTAACCACAACCCAAAACCTAATCCTAACCCTAACCCTCATATGTTTCTGATGTGTTACTGACACTCATTTAAGTGTTTGTTTCATCTAAAAGGACGACTTAAAATAGTCACCTAAAACAATTTTAAAGAGGGAGCAGGAGGAGGACAGCAAGAGGGAGACAGAGAAAGAGTTTTTAATTAAAAAGACGGTTCAGCCAAAAGCTAAAACGTTACCCTGAATGTAGTGGATCAGTCGTGACATGTTTGGTGTCTAAAGTTTGCTTCTTTAGTTCTGCACTGGAGCTAAGAGGCTAATAAATAATGGAATCTTCTAACCCACCAAACAGCATCAAACTGCACACCAAAAATCACCTTATGAAGCTGCTTCAAGCTCATTTTGGACAGATGTACCAGCACAGAACCCTTATTTCTGACAGTGTACTGTGAATGGAGACATACAGAGTCTTTCCACCAATCACAGGCGAAATCTGCTCTGGGCACAGAGGAGGTCAGTGTGTGTCCAGCTGTTTGTGTGTCCAGCTGAAATGAGATGCACTGAGCCAGCACTCAACACAAGCCAGAATGGCACAGAGAACGGAACAAACACACTAATGTTTTTCCTGCTTCCCTGAGCCCCTCTCGACCCACACACACACGTACGCAGAACGGAACGATTACACTAATGTTTTTCCTCTTTCTCTGAGCCCCTCCCTGAGCACACAGACACTGAGCTGTCTTCCAGCAGAGGGAGGGGTGGGTGTGGGTGGAGGCCTGAAGCTCGTAAACCCCTCTGCTGCGTCTGTGTGAGGGAGGCGCGCTGCAGATTTAAGAGGTTCAGCTGGTGCGTTTTGGCTTGTTAGGCACACGCAGGGGTTTAGATTTAGACTGATGTCTAAAATCGGATAATTCACAGTCTCACGTTTATCTCAGATGCCAAGTGAAGACAGCAGGGAGGCCTGGAGGGGTTGAAGCAGGACATTCAGCAAAGACAAAGTGCTTTAACTTCAGCTTTCAGACTCGGCCCACAATCTGTCCTGTGCTCTAAAAACTACGGTTCTGACTTAAAAAGTGGAAAAGTACTAAAAAAAAATACAATTTGGAAAACTCAAGGTGTTTTGATCTAATCTCTTACACAGAAAATTCACCATAATTGTTTAGACTTAAACAAAAAGCCACTCTCTTACCGAGCTGTTCACAATGGTGGTGATAGGAACCAGATGTCCACCTCCAAAAGCTCCCTCACAGAAAGCTATTACATGAAATGGTTATGAATACGAAGCCTGATGTCTGAGACGTTGTTTTATGATAGTTTTAATTTGTTCACAGTGGAGAGGAACATGGAAGGTATTTAAAAAAATGTTTTCAGATTGAATATCACATCTAAAACCTCAGATGACATGTGTGGGTTCACTGGTGGTGTTCCATAATAAATAAAAAAGCTATATTTGCGTTTACCCCTTTCATATCAAACTACATGAGTGCGTTTACATCTGAACGATTAAGTTTGAGGAAACTCTGAAAAATCTGTGCAATTCCCCTTTGTTTTAGTTGAGTTAGAATCACTTTGGCTAAAAATGCAACTTTAACATGCTAACTCGTGGCAAATCAACAAAGAAAATGAAAAGTTAGGTATCCGCAAACTTTAGACTTGCAGCGTATACAGGTGTATGCAAACGTTTCTATGCTTCTGGTCAAATTCCACGCTTCTCTTGATTTTCTAAGTGGAAAATAATTTAATACACCGTCTATAGAGAACTCACTTCTGTTTATTTACTGAATTTAACATATTGGGAAAAAACATAAAACATAGCCTGTGTAAAAGTTCTGGCACATTTTACACTGTGTTTCATTTTTTGTATGTTTTATCCCCCCCCTAATAAACCCCCCCCCAATTAAACTGCCAAATTTAACTATGTTTACTGTAGAGGATGTTTTAACTTCACTTAGAAAACACAAAACCCATGTAATTTAACCAGGGGGCGTTTAAACCCCTGTATGTGACTGTGAGCGTGCGTACGTGGACTAAAGGTGTAGTACCCACCCGTGTCCAGAGGGGGCGATGAAGTACAAGCAGCAGTGAACTCTATTGTCGGGCATCTGCCGTCTGTTGACGCGCGACTCTGCGTTGAGATAATCCTCAAACTTACTGTCGATGTGATCGATCACCGGCTGCCAGCTGCAACAAAAATCGACATCAGTTTAGTTTCCGGAACACATTTAGCCCGTTTGTGGTCCACAATCCGTTTCTACTGAACAGCATCAATACAGCAAGCTGACTGCTTACCAGTTACTGTTGTCTACAGCATCTCCAAACCCCGGTGTGTCCACGATGGTCAGCAGCAGCTGCACTCCGCCCTCTTTTACCAACACCTTCGACTGCTCAACCTGATCGGAGGACAAGAAAAAACTCTGATTAGAAAAAAATCCACAGACACTTTGCCAGCTTAAAGGCCTGTTGGTGCTTGTATAAAATATCTGAGGTGAGATTTTAGCCTCAGGTTTTCACTTAAATACCCATTTACCTTACCTGAGATATAATATCTTCAGAGAAATGTTTTAGTGGGAAGTTTACAAAATAAAAAGTGTAATTAACAAAAAGTGTGATTGTAAATCGAGTTCTAGCACTGAAGTGTTTGACAGTCAAACAGACAAATTTAAATTTGGACAAATTTTAACTTTAAATGTATGCCTTAAGATAAAATACATATTTAAGATGTTTTATCCAAATGGGACAATAAGATGGCAATTAGAAAACGGTAAAATAATATGGTAACAGCAGAAACGGTAAAGAAAATTAGTGAAATCGAAAAACATGTTTGAAGTATTTTTAGTAAAATATTAGGAGTTATGAGAACTACACAATTTTTTCACTGTGGAAATAACAGAGTGAAAATGGAAAATGTCTCTGAAGAAAATATTGTGGCACAGGAGCCACAAATCCTTTGATTTTGTATTTGAAACCATGTAGAACAAATGGATGAACTTTGTGATGTTTTTATTATCATGTTTTGCACTTTATCTGCATTGCATGTACAACTGAATGGCTTAGAGCGCAAAATTATTTTTGAGAAATCAGATACTAAGCATTATCTCATCATATAACATTTGTCCGGTACTGTATTAGGATGCATGTAGACATTGTGATAAGAGTTTTGGGCATTTCGACCAATCCTATGAATAATAAATGCAACAGGAAAGCCAGCAGTGTAAAATGAGCGAACCAGACTGGCACTGGGATGTTGGAGAAAACATAAAAACCTGAAAGCAAAAGGAAAAAAAGTGAGGGGTAAAGAGTGGAAGTGAAGCTGCCCTCTTCCTCTGATTCCTGCCTTTGACCTCACACAGAGAGAATGCGGTCAACATTTTATATTAAAAATGATTTCTGAAATGTTGAAAACTGGTTTTGTGATGAGCTGTTTTACAGGTGCAGAGCAACTATGAAACATAAAAAAAGAAAAATCAGATAATCATAAGGGAAAAGTGTTATTTAATCTTAGGTCAACAGTGTAAATGTATGTACCGACGTCTGGAGCTGTGCCTAATATTTTAAGCATCCTTTGAAGCCCTGCAACCTTTATGGTTGGAGGGACCCATATACAATATTCCAGATTGGAATTTAACTCTATCTAAGGAGCAAATACTGAACTCAGCTTAAGGAGTTTCAATTATTAAGTTATAAATAAGCTTCTTCGGTAACAATAACTTTCTAAAATGCTGAAGCTCTTGAAAGGATAAGCTTTAAATGAGGCTCAACGCTCAACATATTCAGATACTCTGAGATCAGCATCTGCAGTCAGGCCACATTTGAGTTTAACCTCAGCTAAAACATGCATGGAGACAGATGACCGGAGGCTCTGGGCTCTTCCCAGCCTGATGGAGCTACACCCTGTGCAGAAGAATCATTTTCATCACTGCAGTAACACTGACGTGGTGGTGGTGTGTTAGTGTGTGTTGCGCTGCTATGAGTGGATCAGACACAGCAGTGCTGCTGGAGTTTTTAAACACCTCAGTGTCACTGCTGGACTGAGAATAGTCCACCAACCAAAAATATCCAGCCAACAGCGTCCTGTGGGCACTGATGAAGGACTAGAGGATGACCAACACAAACTGTGCAGCAGCAGATGAGCTAACGTCTCTGCCTTCATCTACAAGGTGGACTGACAAGGAGTGTCTAATAGAGTGGACAGTGAGTGGACACTGAGGTGTTTAAAAACTCCAGCAGCACTGCTGTGTCTGATCCACTCAGACCAGCACAACACAGACTAACACACCACCACCACATCAGTGTTACTGCTGTGCTGAGAATGATCCACCACCCAAATAGTACCTGCTCTGTGAGGGTCCATGGGGGTCCTGACCACTGAAGAACAGGGTAAAAGGGGGCTAACAAAGTATGCAGAGAAACAGATGGACTACAGTCTGTAACTGTAGAACTACAAAGTGCACCTATATAGTAAGTGGAGCTGATAAAATGGACAATGAGCGTAGAAACAAGGAGGTGGTCATAGTGTTATGCCTGATCGGTGTAAAGTGTGTATGAAGCAAAAGGTTTTATTTAGCGAGCTCTAGGCTGAACTGCACGGCAGACAGCTGAGGTTTCCTCACTGAAGGGTACAATTGCAAAACTGCAGCACGCACAGAAGAAAAAAATAATGTCTGCTGTTACTTACAGGACAACACAAGCCAAAAACAACCTGTGGGCTGATCACAGACCCGGCCCTTCAAAGCGTGTGACTACACAATGGAGCACAGTGTTGAGAAGCGGAGATGTAATGTGAGACAACAACAACGTTGCCATGCTTTCCTTTCCCGACAAGGCGTTTTTTCCCAACTTATTCCAGCCTCCAGCCTATTCCACCAGGCCCTGCAGAAAGGGGCCGAGCCTAGTGCACAGAGCAACAGCACAGCTCCCAAAAAAAAAACCAAAAAAAAAAAAACACGGCTGAGCAGGAGCGCAAAAACAAAACTAACCAGGTGGTGAATATATGGATTGCTCAATCAGACAGGAGCGAGTGCAGGAATCCTTTTGTAGGCCAGTGTGATGACATACACATGCTGCCTCACACCTGGTGCTGACAGCCAGCAGGATCTGCTGAGGCATGTGTGCGTGCTTGACCAATGCAGGTGACCCTGAATCCATCATAGCCAAACGTCCATTCTGCATTTCTCACATTACTTCTGTGACCTTCACCAGCATTTCACGACATACATCACTCTGTATACATCACTTTGAAGATCACCGACCTCTGACACAAGCTACTGCTCTGACCCTTCAGACTTCCAAACCTAAACTCATCTGACACCATTTCTGTAGGGGTCAGCAAGTGGGAGCTCAACAAAAGAAGTCAGAGACCAGCCTTTTTTTCATTTTATGTATATTATTATCGTGATAAATTATATCTTAGTATCACAGTATGCTTTCTAAGTTTACTGCGGGTATCATCAGTACTTAAAACACCTCCTAGCCGCATGTTTGATTACAAAGGGAGCGTCATTAGTCTTGTTTTATTGGATTTAGTGCAGCACAGTGTGTGAAATATTGAATACATATCATTCATTGTTTATGATCGATCAGGTGTTACTGTGACGTATCATTTATGTATTATACGTAACTTCATTTGCATCAAACTATCGCTTTGACTTTGAATCATCATGGTTGAATTTCATGGGACCGGATTTACATGTCCAGAAACTAAAGGAGTGACTCTCAGACCGTGTTTTAATGATAATCAGCCTCTCCCAGATACTAAGACACTTTTGTAAGGTGCAGGCATCGAAGCTTTGGTGGAGGTAAAACCACACTATAATGTCCTGTGGCTTTTAAGGGCTGACTAACACCATGCGGCTTTATTTTTGCAAGAGCCGAAGACCATGTTAGAGCAAATAGTGTGGTTTAACACCTAAACACACCTAAATGATTAGCTGACAAAGCTGATGACGCTGATTATGAGAAAAAAAAAAAAAAAGGCGTGGATTTTTCTTTGGTCTACATGTTTACTTAATCCCTTAATTTCCCAGACTTACCACATTCTCTTCACAATGAAAAACCTTTACCATTGCTATATCTGTTGTAAACAGTGGAACCGGTGGAGTCTCAACGTGAGGTTTTCAGGGTGAAAAATTAAGAAAATCCCCTTCTGATGATGCATTTTGAAGACTGTAGGAACTTTAGGTAGATTTCTGGGGCCGACTGTTTTGTTTTTTTTCCCCCCCACTAGCTGGTGAACGTAGCAGGAAGCCAGAAAGCTAACACTGCCAGAAAGCCGAATAAATGGTTGCAGCGGTAGAACTGTAGCATCTGCCTTCAAGTCCTCACCACAAAGGCAAGAATGGATTACTCAAACGACAGAAATGACTCAGAAGATGAGGAGAACAAGTTTAATTTAGCAAAGTAGCTAGGTATCTTGGTACCTTACCTCAGTTTGTTAAGACCTACTCTAGCGCTAGTTTGTTTGTATTGATTAGCCTATAGCTCAGCAGCTTGGCAATATATAACGATATAAAACAATACAAAATCGTAAACTCTGTCAAACTAATGAAACTGACAGCTACAGCGCTGTGCTACTGATATTGCACTATATATAACATTTCTGACAACTGTTCGGGGCAGTCGTGGGCTGGAGGTTAGGGAACCTGCCTTGTGAAGGTCCCCTGAGCCAACAGGACATGAGTGAAGTGTGTGTGTTCACTAGTGCGCATGTATGTGGGTGTTTCACTGCACGGACGGCTTGCGGAGGTCAAATTCCTCTGTGTGCAAAGCACAGTTGGCCAATGGTTCCAAATTCTATTCTATTGTATTCTATTTAAGCAAGAGAAGACGAGAGGGAGTGTGTCATCGTGAAATAACATCACGGCTGTGATTTGGTCGCCGTAGATCATCACAGCCGTGACGTTACAGCGATAACACACAACCTCGAGTGTTCTATTGCTTTTATACTACAGTTAAATAAATAAAGTAAGAAATTAATAAACTGGGCCGTGAAGGCGGCGTTTAATATGTTTTAATGTTTGCAGTTCCTTTACCAAATTATAGTTCCTTAACAAGCAGCTCGTTGCTACGTCAGAGTAACGAACTCCGCCCACTCGCTGCTCATGAGTCATAAAACTGCCGCAACATCAAGTTTAGCTCAGTTTTGTCATTTTTTGCCAGATCAGTATTAATGTTGTTTTGTTCCAGCCAGTCTGTAAAGCATCTTACAGCCCGTTTAGTTTGGTGAATGGTGTTGGGTTCATTTCTGGCTGATTCCAGGTTGTTTAGCTGTTCTTCTGTCACAGCTGCCGACTGAAAAGCTGCTCAGTGGTGATGACAGTTTGGGAATTTAGTGTCGTCTCATCTTCAGAGTCTGACCAAATCGGCTGTCGGTCAAATGTGATCTTAAAAGTAT